TTTTTATTATTTGCTCACAGGGTTGTTGGGAGTAGTGAACAGGACAGCCTGGTGGACAGACTCTGTAAGGCTGGGTCAATGACTGTGAGTAGGCTCCTTCTGTTAGGAACTCAACCAGTGAGTTTGGACGAGGATGGAAAATCCAGTGGGCAGAAAGAAGGGGCGTGGCCTCCAGGGAACCAAACTCCTCCATTTCTTGAGTTTCTGCACCTGACAGTTGCATCATGGACGACACAGGTCACTTCTGGAAAGGAGCTTAGAGCCCACACAATCCAGCCCTCCAGCTGCATACAAGGGGAAACTGAGGCCCAGAGGGCGGAAGTGACTTGTCCTGGGCTACGTACAAGGCCACATGCCAGCCGCACTTCCAGACTTGGACCTGAGGTTCCTTCCTCCATTGCATCAGCCAGGCCTCCTTGTTTGGCATTTCTTCCCACAGTAGTCCTTTGCCTCAGAAATCAACAGGCTCTCACCACCTCTGAGAACCTCAACCTTTGAAAGCTCCCGATTTGATTGCTTTCTTCCTGTTTTCCCATAGAAGGCAATTGAAAAGCAATTGAGAGCCACTTCCACCTCTGGTGACTTCTCCAGAACTCTCCCTCCCTGGGCCTCTCCTGGAGAGGTCAGGAGCAGGTTAGCAGTGTGTGCATATCTGCACCCTTCACTAAGGTTTTTCAGGGGCAGGCGGTCTCCTTTTCCTCAACTGGAGTGCCCTCCCTCCCTCCCTCCTTCCCTTCCTTCTTTTCTTCCTCACACATCTCGCTGTGTCGAAACCACCCATCTGGCACACACAGACGTTCATTCTGAGTGACCGTGAGCCTGCATCTTTGTTGCATGGGTAGAATTTCTTTGCTGAAAAATAGTTGCAGGAGAAAACAGTTACAAAATGCCAGGCCTGGTAAGAGCTCATTTGTAAGGCATATGTTGACCAACAAGCCCAGGAATTATAGGCACGCAAAATGGGGGAAAATCAAGCTTTCGATTTTTCCTTGTAGCTATCCTGATTTTTTGATTCGCTGTTAGAGCAGCCACGAGGAGGTCTTGCTGCTTTAATAAACCCTCGCGGGGCTAGAGGAGTCTTGTGTCCATGAAGGAGGTTCACGCGTGTTATTTCATATGAACCATATAACTGCCCTGTGAGGTGAGCTGGACAGAATTGTTTCCCCGACTTTTCTGATGAGGAAATTGAAGCTCAGAGAGGTCAAGGAGTTGCTCCTAAAAATCCGACAGACCCAAGGCTTCAACCAAGTGTTTCTGACTTCACATCTAGGGCTCCTTTTACCAACAATTCTACTTGAGCGAAATCCAGAGTTTTAAACTTAGGACAAGATCCTACCCTGAATTTTTAGCTCAGAGCTAGAACTAGGTGAATCCAAAGTGGACATTAGCCACAAAAGGGATAAATTATGGTAAAGATAAAAGTGACCATTGAATCAATAACAACTAGACTGTCCCCTTTGGTCTCCCCATTCCACGTTTGAACTCCAAGTTAGACTTTCCTCCCCAAAGCCTTCCCTGGCTCCCTACTTACCCCCTGGGGTGGAGTGGATTACTTCTCCTCTGGGCCAACATTTTCATGTTCTTTGAGTCTCTACTGCAATTTGCATTATATTGTCATTCATTCATTTGTTCATTATTCACAGAACTCTCTTGTCCCATGTGCAGTGAGTTCCTCAGGGTAGTGATTACCTTCCCCTGGGCACAGTATCCTTGGTCAGTGAAATGACACTGCAAGTGAACTGGCCTTGCCTGGTCTAATTCAAGGACACAGCAATGGGTCTCAAATCTAGTGCTGGGCTTGGATCAGTGGCATTTGGTGACTCAGAGAGGGGCTTGCGGCAAGTAGGGTGGTGGCCAGGAGCTGAGGAATGGGCATTGTGGCAGGGTCTTGACCAGCAGACAGCTTCCGGGGAAGTCTGGGAGACCAGGCGATGGCCACTGGCCTGAGGTTTGGGATCAAGACTCAAGTCTTTGGAGTTAAGATTCAGGCACTTAAAATGATCTTGGAAGAAACAGACTGCAAGGCCATGACTGGTATCAGGAATGAGTCAAAAACCCTTCTCCTTGAAGGCCCAGACGCCAGGCCCATGGGGACTGAGCCCTCTGAAAACCCTGGCAAAGGGCCAAGGATCTGGGGCCATCTCAGCTGTGGGGGCAGGAGGCTGGGAGTGGGGAGCCAGGCAAGATATTTTAAGAAGCCCCATTTTTCTTATTTCCAAAAGGCATAAGAGGTGAATAGTTGAAGTATAAAGAAAAAAAAATTGGTTTAGAAATTGCCCTAACTTAGATTCTTAGATAAAGGGGTGCTTGACTCTCTTATAGAGCTTTTTGGGATTGCTGTGGTAGAGGGGACCATCCCTTTCTTTGTGCAGAACAACCATCATTCTGTTCCCACTGAATAGCCCTGGTCCATCATTCTGACCCCAAAGACAGGCTGATGTCCAGAAGGCGTATTGAGTAACTCAGCTCATAAATTACCAAACCATTTGGGTTTTACTTTCTGGGTAAAAAGTTATCAGTCCATGGTCCATGCAATTACTTTGAAGATGGCTCATTCTCATTGTCTCTTGAAGGAAAGTTCCCGGTCTCTGCACTCTATTTGCTATAGCAAGGAGCACTAGCTGCTCACCTGTCCTCCAAACTAGGGGAGTAAAAGACCAAGTTTTTATATGCTTGAAGAAATGAAAAGAGAAAACTAATAATATTTCTTGAGAACTTGCTATGTGCAGGCATGGTCTTAGGCCCCTTTCACATGGATTATTGTATGTGTGTGTGTATAAATACTGCAGTGTATTTATACACACACATACTGCAGTGCAGGAAGATAAGGTATTACTATCCCCAATCTCCAGAGGAATAGATGAAGACTCAGTTGCTATATAACAGAAGTATTGGAATTTGGATTTGAACCCCAGCTCAGTCCTCTCCAGAGATCTCTGAGATCTTCACTGCTTTTCTGCACAATAAAGATACCCAGGAAGGGCTGGTGCTTCCTTTTCAAAGCCGGAACTATTACACCAAAGGCCGCTGGAGCTGATCTGGCCACCAGGAGCTTTCTGATTTCCCAGGTGTCCCTCCTTCATGCCAGTCTCTGGTATCAGCTATACCACTGGTTGGCTGGCCCAGGTATCCAGACCTGAAGACCCTCCCCTGGCCTAGGGGTCCTTGCTGATAAGACAAGAGCGATGCTGCTGGTTCCCTGCTAGTGGAGCCGTGAACCCAGCTGAGAGGACATGTTGGCTGCACAGGTTTGCCTGCTAAAGGAGCCAGCGCAGTTGGTTGCTGGGAATTTGGTGAAAATAATCAGCTGCAAACTCCTAAAAGACAAACAGACTACGCTCCAGAGGTTTGAATAACAGCCCCCTCAGCCAGATGGCCGCAGGAGCCCCGCCAGGGAGACAAAATGATCTCCCGCCCTGAATTTCCTCTTTGTTCTGGACCCTGCTGTTGGTGGACAGCATCGGTGCACCCCACCCTCGAGAGCGCCAGCCGCCTGGACAGGGCCTTGTGTTTAGGGAGCTTAAGGCAGCTTTCCCCAGATTAGGATTTTGGGACAGGGAATCCAGGCAAAGAAGTGGCTTTCTTGTCTGAGTATGAGTCACCACAGGCTGGAGGGAGCACACAGCTGTCTGCATCTGGGCCTGGAATGTGGTTTCCTCTTCGTAGGACACTCCCAAGAAGCCCGGGACCCTCGTGGGTGCAGAATAGGAATTCATAAGCAGGGCCACCCTGTGTGGGGCAGACCTGGACACCGCGGTCCCCTCCAACAGGCCTTCACATCCGAGCTATGAAGAAGAGAATGCTCGCTTGCTTCCACATTAAATTGCAACCACGCCTGGAACAAGTGGTGGGGAGTGTATCCTGCCAGACTTGGCCCCTGGTGGCTCCAATGGAGCACTGACGCAAGAGTGAGGCCAGTGTGGGTTTGAATCCTCACTCTTCCACTGTGTGACCTCAGACAACTTATTTGAACTCTCTGAGCCTCAGTTTTTACTTCCCTGAGTTTAAATGAAAATAATAAAGAAATTATATTTTCAATGCATGCAGCATAGTATCTGGCACATGATAAACACGGTTTCTTCCCTCCCAGTCTTTTGGCCCAGAGCCTCTTGGTACCAAGAATTACTTCTAATGCCTACTCCTAAATGCTTTCACTGATCCATGGTTCAATCTGTCATTCTCGGCTTTTGGCAAAACTTCCAAGTACAATCCTCTCCCATTTCCCTAAGTGAATTCCTGTCTCTCCTCTATTGTTATTTTAGTAACCCCGTTTGCCAGTATGTATTTTGATTTACTAAGTTACCACAGATTCTGTTTGGAAGTAGGCTAGGCAGGGTATGTAATTACAGTGATGTTGCATCTAGCTCTGTCTAGCTCTGTCACCCAGAGTTACTAGTTTACGAGTATTTTATTATTTTATTTTTTAATTTTAAATTTGTATGGGTATATCTGGTGTATATATTTATGGGTTACATGAGATATTTTGATACAGGCATGCAATGCCTAATAATCACATCAGGGTAAATGGGTTATCCATCACCTTAAGCATTTATAATGCATAATTTTCAGATTTCCTCCCATAGCTGGGTGACGTGGCTCACTCCCAACACTTTGGGAAGCTGAGGCAGGAGGATCCTTTGAGCTCCGGAGTTTGAGGCCAACCTAGGCAATATAGTGAGACCTCCATCTCTACAAACAAACAAAAAAAGTAGCTGAGCATGGTGGCACATGCCTGTGGTCCCAGTTACTCAGGAGGCTGAGGTGGGAGGAATCGTTTAGGCCTGGGAAATAGTGAGCTGTGATCGTGCCACTGCCTTCCAGCCTGGGTGACAGAGCTAGACCCTGTCTTTAAAAAAAAGCTTCAAAACCACACACAAATCTAAGATGTTAAAGTGTATTAGTCAGGACAGGCTGAATTTTGCTTTAGTAATAAACAACTCTTAAATATGAACAGCTTAGTGTAGCAAAGGCTCACTTCTCATGCTTCATGTCCATTGCAGGTTTGTGGGGTCACTGTTCACACTGACCTCTCTTAGATACTCAGGGTTCACCACCTGGAATATTGTGGGTCACCACAGCAGGAAGAGGAGAAGAGGAAGAATCGCTTAGCAGCTCTCGAATGCTTCTGCCTAACGGTAACACATCACTTCCCTTCTCACAAGCCGAAGGCGGGACACACAATCCCGTTGTGTGCTCAGGTGGAAAATAACCAGAAACACCGAGGAACAAGCATTAATGTTGACTACATAGAGGCTCAGTGTTTTAAAATAATAGAGGAAACCCTGCAGGCAAGAAGAAATTTCAGTATTCCCCACCCTTGCCATTCATCACTGGGGATTTGCTGGTCATTTTAAAATCAGAATATTCCCAGACATTTGCATAGAAGAAATTCCTTTTGTTCCTTCCTTTGGTCTATTTCAAAGGTCCTGAATTTCCAGTGTGTATAAGTATTCTTGTTTGCCATCGTACAACGCTTGTTCGCAATCCTAAAATGTTTTCAGAGTGTTTTGGACATAAGCATTTTCCCTGTACGTGCTGAATTTAGAACCTAATTTACTTAGGATGTGACCCTACAGTACTTAATTGATACTAACAGCTGACTTTCATTGTCCCCGAGTTTTATCACATTCTCCTCTTCTGTGCTTCACTTACAACCTTAGGAGCTAGTTTTTAAACAAAGCTCTAAAAAGTCTTCCGCATACATTATCTTATTTAGTAACTCTTATAACCTGAAGGAGGCAGTTTATTAGTGGAACATTTCCATTATACAGAGAGGGCAAGTGACTTGCTCAAGGACACTGTGCAGATATGTGGAAATCAAATTTGTGAATGTATTTCTGTCTGGCTTTAAATTCTGTGACTTTCTCATGATCCTAGGCAGCCTTCCAGTTGGGACAAGGAGCTCTTGTTTAGAAAGGCAGTTTACAGGCACTGAACTCTGCTCTGGAAATCTGTGGAAAGAACAGAGGGGAATGAGAGGCTTAGGCCCCATAGACCCTTCTCCCTGCTGCCATCCACTCAGGGGATTGTGCTTCATGAAATTCCAATTTCTGCTGGGATTACTTTGGGCACACAACATTCTAGGAGCTGGATGTCCAGGAATTCCTGTTAATTAGGCATTTATTCACGGAACAAACATTTCCCTGAAGAGCTTTCTGCAGCTGGCCAATGCCCTGATTTGGTCTTGGGAGGTGAGATGCCCATTAGTGTAGAATGCATGACAGTGTGAAGCGCATAATCACATGTGAATTGCACAAGTAAGTAGTGTAAGTATGTAATATGTCCAAGTGTGTAAGCTGTGTGATGTGTGTGTGTAGGGTTGGTGTTTGTGTTAGCCATTCTCTGTTTGTAGTGTCACTAGATAAAACGCAGAATGCTCAATTTAATCTGAGCTTCAGATGAGCAACAAATTATTTTTTAGGTTGAGTTTGTCCCATGCAGCATTTGGAACATAATTATACTAAAAATATGTTATTCATCTGAAATTCAAATGTAACTGGTCATCTTGTGTTTTGGTTTGCTAAATCTGGCTGCTATGTCTACATGCATGTTTGGCAGTATAAATGGACTTGCTTGTTTATATCCCAGGGTGCACCTGACTGTGTGTATATTTGTGCCCGTGTGTCTCTGGGTGTATACGGGGGTCTGTGTGCATGTGGACCTGGCTGGTAAGGAGTCACTGCATGGGAACCAACTGCTCCACCACCCACAGCTCATCTCCTGCCAGTCCAACTCTACTGGACCAAGAGGGGTCAGGATGGGCCAGGTGTGGTGGCTCATGCCTGTGATCCCAGCACTTTGGGAGGCCAAGGTGGGTAGATCACCTGAGATCAGGAGTTCAAGACCAGCCTGGCCAACTTAGTGAAACTGTGTCTCTAGTAATAATACAAAAATTAGCTGGGTGTGGTGACAGGTACCTGTAATCCCAGCTACACGGGAAGCTGTGGCAGGGGAATCAGCTGAACGCAGGAGGCAAAGGTTGCAGTGAGCCGAGAGTGCACCATTGTACTCCAGCCTGGGTGACAACAGTGAAACTTCATCTCTGGAAAAAAGAAGTCGGGAGGAGGGGGTCAGGATGGGCCTTGAATGCCTGGTCAGGGAGTTTGGACTTTCTTCCGAGGGTAGCCATGTAAGGCTCTGAGCGAGGGAGCAGACAGAGCTAGATGTGTTCTACAGAAGTCCCTCTGGCTGCATTGCTGAGAAAGAGCTAGAGAAAGCGCACAGTGGGAGGCTGAGGGAGCTGGATGGTGACCATGGTGAGGGAGGGCGAGGATCTGGGCTAGGGCTTTGGCGGTGGAGATGGAAGGAAAGGGTCTGATTGCAGGGCTCACTGAACAACCATGCAGGGGCTGAGGAAGTCAGAAGTTGAAGGTGGTGTTCATGTTTCCTGCCTGAGCACCTGGGCTGATGAACCATAGGCCCCTGAGTGTTTATCTTGCTCCCTTCTTCATCCTCAATGTCACGCACAGTGCCTGGCATGTAATGGATGCTCTGTGGATGTTTATGGCATGAATACATGCACATGCAGATGAAAGAAGTGGGAAATACATCAGGAGGAGGAAGAGGAGAAGGTAGAGGAGGGGGAGGAGAGGAAGAGAAGAAAGAAGAGGAGAAGAAGGTCCGGGAGGACGAGAGATACATCCTGGCTGCATGTCAGCCCTGGGCACTGACAGTCTATTTCATCCATGGCTAGAGCTCCACATTAAATAGTACCCAGCAGTGAGTAAATGGCAGTGTAAGCCAAATCCTAGCGTAGTGCCTGGCATATAGTAGATGCTCAATAAATGTGCATTCCAACCTTCTTTTCAGTGAGTAAAGATGCTCCCATTATTCCGAGGAATTTCCTTCCCTGAGCACAGTTTTTCTATTTTAGGGAGGCAATTATCCTTTTGCTTAGGAAGACTTGTCTTTTCTGCTATTGAATTCTTGGGAAATTCAAAGGGCCTGGGCCTGAAAGTTTGCTGTGGATTATGGGACAATTAGAGCCCAAAAGAACAATGGTCCGATCCCAGGGGATGGCTCTAATCAGGGTAATCCCCCTGATGGCCTCTCCTTCCTTCGGACATGGCCTTGTCATCTGTTGGAAACCCAGGGGTTCTCCTGAGTCTGGCACATAGTATGTGCTGTGCAAATGTTTGTTGTGATTATTTTTGTTATTACTATCCCTGGGCCTGGTGTTTCCTGAAATTGAATTATTTCTCTGACTCTAAAGCTTAGTTTATTTTATTTTATTCAAGCCTTGGGCTAACACCTCAATAGCTCAGGATTCCCAAAGCAGGAAAGACTAATTCCGACACAGCCCCTTTCTGACGATTTTTAAACACTCATGCCACAGAGGAAGGTAGGATTCCTTCAAGAGCTCACTTAGTGTAGATAAACATTTGGCCAGTGGATATGCAAACAGTCCAAAAACGCACCTTTTTCTAAGCGTAGGGTCTCAAAAAGGGCTTTCAGGATTCAATGCATATTCATTTAGTCATTGACTTGTTCATCTAGTAGTTCCTGCTGGAATATAAACCAGGGCAGGCTTTTTGCCTGCCTTGTTCCCTATTGGAAATCCAGTGGCAGAACAAGGCCTGAGACTTCGCATCTGCTCAATACATAGTTGTTGAATGAATGAATAAATGAAGGAGCATCTTATCTGTGCTGGGGTGCCTGGCATTGGGACACCAGAATTGGACACAGTCCCTGCAGTCCATGGGCTTGTGGTCCTGCAGAATGTCCCATGCACCCAACATCTACCTGAAATACAGAGCAGATCAAGCCAACTGCCTGTGAGATAGGGAAGGCCCCTGCAGGGGTCACTGAGCCAGGCAGAAGGAACAGCACTTCTTCTGGGAATACCAGAGAAGACATCTTAGGCCAGGTGGCTTTTTTTTTTTTTTTTTACAAAAGTCTGGAAATCGCCTTTTATTTTTGTTGTTTGTTGTGTAATATGTCAATGTTTTAATAAGGACTTTCATACCCATATGAAAGATCCACTGTGCTAATTATGTTAGGCCAGGTTCCTTGAAACCATTTTAGCATTCCAAGTTTTCTTTCTTTAAACCATCAGCCTAATTATAATTTTAAAACTATAATGAATTTGTATTTCTTTTACCGACATATAATATTATACACATTTATAGGGCACATGTGAATGTTATATGCATGGAATGTCTAATGATCAAGTCAGAATATTTGGTGTATCTGTCACCTTGAGTATTTATCATTTATTTCTATGTGTTGATATAATTTCAAGTCCTCTCTTCTAGTTACTTTGAAATATACAAAATATTGTTTGTTGTTAAGTATAGTTACCCTAGTCTGCTATCAAATATTAGAACTTATTTCTTCTGTCTAACTGTATGCTTGTACCCATTAATCACCTTCTCTTCACCACCCCTCCCACTCACTCAGCCACCTACCCTCCCTTCCCAGTCTCTGGTATCAATTATTCTATTCCCTCTGCCCATGAGATCAAGTTTTTTTTTTAATTAAAAAAATTATATTTACTTAGAAGCATTCAGAATGTCAACAAAACAGCTGCAACTTTTTTTTTTGGCAATTACAGAGTGGTAATCAATTAACAGAACAAAAATTATTTCATATAAGCTGCATCAGAGACAACTGAAGATGAAAAAACTACCGTCCCCATTTATAACTAATTTGTGCTGTGCACCAACAAGAACCTGCTTTACATTTCATGCCGATTTACAGCCCTACACTGCACCAGGCAAGATTAGTGGCTACTGAAAATACCACCAGGACAGGGCTGTCGGAAGACACATTTGGTAGTGCGTTAACTACACAAAAAAAGATACTGTACAGTTTAAAAACAAATCTTACACAGCCTTACATTTCCATTTTTTTCTTTAAAAGGAGTGAGTTGTATACAGAGGGTTTCAATGCTTTATAGACAAGAAAAAAAAACTGCGCCAGAACCAACTATTCATCATCATCATCTTCTTCTTCTTCATCTTCCTCTTCCTCCTCATCCTCTTCATCTTCCTCATCTTCCTTCTCTTCCTTCTTTTTCTTGCTTTCTTCAGTCTTGACAACTCCCTTTTTTGCTGCATCAAGCTTTTCTTTAGCTGCAGATGACATCTCATTCATTTTTATGGCTGAAGAGTATTTTATTTTGTGCCCATTCCACATTTTCTTCATTCATCTGTCTACTGATGGACACTTAGGTTAATTTCATGTCTTAGCTATTGTGAATAGTGCTGCAAGAAACATGCGAGTGCAGGTATCCCTTTGGTACACTTGGGTTCCTCTCCTTTGGATAAATATCCAGTAGTGGGATTGCTGGGTCAGAAGGTAGTTCTACTTATAATTTTCTGAGAAACCTCCGTTTTGTTTGCCATAGTGGCTGGCTAATTTACATTCCCACCAAGAGTAGGTTAAGAGTTCCAAGGTGGAATTTGCACTGCTTTGGTTTCAGCATCGAGGAGGAGTTGGTGGCAGGTCAACAGGAGGAGCCATGGTCTAGAGCTGGGACATCTTGGTTGGCAGAGTAGTCCCAGGTAGGCCAGCTGGGGATAGAGGTCATGGGAGCATATGTTCAGGAGGGCAGGGCCCATGTCTGCCTGGTCCTTCGTTATAAGACATGGCACCTGGCACAGTGTGGGCTCTCAATAAGTTGTTGATTAAGAGAAAGAATGAATGCCATTAGAGAAGAGAGCAAAGACGGGACCTAGAAATCTTTCCAGAGGTTTTCTTGGCAACTACAATGGATTTCTTTGCACCCCCAAGTCTGCAAGGAGCCCCACCTCCATTACCTCCACAGCACTCCACCAAGTGATCATCTAGCTTTGGCTAGGATGCTTCTCAGGGAGGGGGTGCTCACTCCCTCCCACACAACTGGTTCCTTTTTTGTATAGATCTGATTATTAGAGTATTCATCCTTACACTGACCACAGGGAAGCAGAATGGAGTCAGGGAAAGAGCACTGAACCTGGAGTCAGAAGACCAGGACTTCGCTCCTGACCCTCCCACTGTCTTGCTGGTGCTTCTTGGGCAGGGGTAGATGTACCCAGTGGTTATGAATGTGGGCTTGGACATTTGGCATATCTGCCTCAGTTTCCTTATCTGTAAAATGGAAATAGCAATGGTGCCTACCTTATAGGGCACTTGTGAAGATTAAATGAGATAATGCATGCAAAGTTCTTAGTGCCTTACTTGGCAAATTAGTAAATGCTCAGTGAACGTTAGCTACGATTTTTCATATATCATCTCCTTTCTGGCTCTCAGTTTCTTCCTCTGCATAATGGGAATAAGAAGCCCTGCCTTGGATATCTCTTGGGCTTGGTGTGAGGAGCCAGGGAGAGAATGGGCATGAAGGATCCTCAGAGGTGAGGGATTCTGCGTCATTCCCATTACATTGGCTTTTTCTGCAGGAGACCCCACTAGGGTGTGCTTTACCCTGAGATCACTCCTACCACACCCAGATCCTGAGGTTTTTCCCTCCCTTTGATGGCTTGGTTTCTGTTCCTTGACAGCCTGAATCATGACCTCCAAGATCTTATTTACTTACTTATTTATTTTTAGTAATAAATAAGTAAGCATTTATTTATCATCATTTATATGACCATTGCGTTGGATCGTCACCCAGGCTGGGGTGCAGCCTCAAGCTCCTGGGCTCAAGCAGTCCTCCTGCCTCAGCCTCCCAAGTAGCTGGGACTACAGATGCATGCCACCATGCCTGCATAATTTTATTTTTAATTTTTTTTAGAGTCAGGGATCTTACTACGTTGCCCAGGCTGGCCTTAAACTTCTGACCTCAAGTAAGCCACCTGTCTCAGCCTCCCAAGTAGTTGGGATTACAGATCTATATTCAGAACAGGACTGCAAAGAAAGGAAAGGAAAATAAAGAAAAGGAAGTGGGCAAAGTTCTGGCTTTCAGTAGTTCCTTGAAGAGCATAAGACACAGACTCGCTGCAAAGGGGGCTTGCCCAGCCTTTGAAATAGCCATTTCCTTCCCTCCCGGCCTTTTTGAGATCAGAGAGGTGGGAGGGGGCATGGAGATTTAGCTCCAGGATGCACTGAAAGGAGGCTGTGAGCTTTCCTCTGATGTGCGACTCTTCTTCAGGGGCCCTGGCCCTGGGAGGCGGGGCTCTGGGCTGCCCAGCTCCTCCTGTGGTCTACCTTGGCCTCAATGCAGGCCCAGCTGGTGCTGACCACGCGGGTTTCTTTTAAGAGGCTTGGCTGACCCTCAGCACAGCTGAGATGTTCTGAAGCCTTGAATGTCAGCGATGGAAGCAGCTTTATGATTCTCTGGGCCAGAGGTTTCCAGGCTGGGGTCCCTGGACTCTAGGGGTACTCAGACTATTCCCAGTTCTTTTGAAAGCTGAACAGAAGCAGTATATGGCCCCTGTGTGAGGGTTCACAGGCTCATAAAAGTATCTGGTGACTTGACTTTTCTCTGAAATCAGCTCCAGCTGATCCCTCTGTTGCTGGTGACAGTGATAGCTTCCCAATGAGTTCACCTGCTAGGAGCAAGATGAAGCCCTTCACACATCATCTCACTGATCTTCAGTTCTGTAAGATGGGTATGTTTATGAGTGCTGTTTACCAGTGGAGAAACTAAGTGCCGGAGGGGTAAAGCGCTGTGCCAAGTCCACATCCAGCAGTCTCACTCTGCCGTGCCAAACCCCAGCTACTAGCAAACCGTCTTCTGAAAGCTCAGTTATACAGCTTTGGACACTGCAAAACTCGTCATTATTCAGGGAAGAGAATTTAGTAGAGAAAATGTTGAGATCAAAGTATACACATAGGAGGAATAATTAAAGGAGTGGTGGAATAGTTGAGGATATGCCATTTTTTATTTATTGTTATTTTTTTATGTTCTGCTTTTCTTTGCTCTTGAGAGATGACACATGCCACTTTGTCTTGTAAAGCAAAGGCCTAGAGTAGTGAGGGTCTTGCCCAGTGTCATCTTGGGAACTGGTAGTTGGGACAAGAACCTGTCTCACTTTGAGTGAATTCCTTGGGCCTGACTCCAGGGGGCTCAGGCTAGCTAGGAAGCAGAGCAGTAGTGGCTTGTCACAAGCTGATGGCATAAGCCTGGGGGCTCCTTGGGAGGGTCTCTGACTTCTCCCTGCCCTGACAGGCCACTCCCCAGCAAGGGTCAGACCACACATCCTGACTAACTTTCCGCCAGTCCCCACCTACCTCCCACCAGCTGCATAGTGCCTTGGCCTTGCCAGACCACAGAGCCGTTCAGAGCTGGCAGGAGCCAGCAGAATTCATCTTCAGCAAACTCTTCCTTCCAATCCCATAATTGTACATGCACTTTATGGTTTGCAAAGTGCTTCCACATCTTCCACATCATTCAACTTGAGACCCAAGGCTGTTCTGGGAGCGGGGTAGGGTAGGGATAGTACCCCATTTTACAAAAGAAGAAAAGGAAGTTCTAAGAGGCAAGGTACCTTGTTCAAGGTCACACACTCTGATAAGAAATGTCAGAGTCAGAAGTTGGAGCTGGGTTGGCCTGTTCCATTCCGGTGCCTGTTGCACCAAACAGCCTCCCCATTTGGAATGAGGAATTGAGTCACATGCCAAGCAGGGTCCTGCCAATAAGTTTATATTTAACAGCATCACCATTAACCGTATCTTTTTCCTATAGTGGACAAATACGGTACCTAAATTAAAACAGTTCATCTATGTCAACCAAGATTGCCGGCCTCCGCTCTGAGAATCCATGATGTGATGAAAAGACGCAAATGTTCAAGGCAGGAGTGGTTCATGTTCTAGACTCATAACTTTCTCACTGAGAAGATGTTCATGCTCTGGGCCCCTGTTTTCCAGGTGTACAGTGAAGATAATAATACCTACCTTGCTTGTTGTGAAAATGATTAGGGCTGCCATATACAAGTTTATTTGTAAAACTTTAAGAACTATTATACATGACCATGAATCTTCATTAACAGCTAAGGCAGGGGAAATTAATATATACACACACACACATATATATACACACACATACACATATACACACACACATATACACACACATACACACACACACACATATATATGTACACACACACACACACACACATATATATATAAAATGAATGATTAATAAGTTCATCCTAAGTAGTTTACATGGCTTATCTTATTAATGGAAATAAGAGCCTTGTGGAGACTACTACCATTATCATTCCCATTTTATAGATGAGGAAGCCGAGACCCAGAGTAACAAGTAGCAAATGGCAGAAGCAGGATATGAAATCTGGATAACAGGTAAGCTCTTCAACAGCCGAGGTACATCAGCATCACCTGAAGGACTGGATAAAATATGAAATGCTGAGTCCCACCCCGTGATTCTGATTCCGTAGGTTTGGTGTGGTGCCTGAAAATTGGATGCTGATACTGCTGGATCAGGGAGCACACTTTGAGAACCACTATGTTAAGCGTCGTGCCCAAGGCCACAAACCCAGCAGTCTGACTCCACAGCACCAACCCTCAACTACTAGCAAATAAATAGTCTTCTAAAAGTTCGGTTTTATAGCTTCAAATACTGTAAAACTCATCATTATCCAGGGAAGGGAATTTGGTAGTGAGAATGTTGGGATCTCAGTACTACATGTAGGAGGAGTAATAAGTGTCTCATCATGCACAGAGCTTTCTTGTCCTGCCAGTGGTCCAATTCAGGTTCTCTGAGGCCTGCGACACAGGTTAGCTGGACATCTGTGCTTGACTTATGGCTGGTAGACATAGGTTATGCTCATGGAGAGGTGTGAAAGTGGTTGGTGATGCTGGGGAGGCCTTTTCTCCTTCAGAAATCAAGTGAGAAAAGTTACCCCATGCATTTGCCTGTGTCTGAAGGCCCTGCAGGTGCCTGAATCTTTGTGGCTGTGCTACTCAGCCCTTTCCCCAGGGCCATGCAGCAGAAGGAAAGGCCATTTGTCTGGAGAAGGCACAGGAGAGAGTTCATAGGATGCTTCCCCAGCTCCTGTCAGTCAGGGTTTCCCTTTAAGCCCCTCGCACTCCCAGATTTCAGGAAACTGTCTATGAATGGAGAGATAAGGCACAGCCTCCAAAAACAGAAAGCACAGACCAAGAATATTTAAATTTCAATTAAACCTAATTAAATTTATGTTTTTGAAAAGAAATAAGAAACCAACTTCCAGAAGAACAGAAGCATTTCAGAAAACAGGGGTTGAGCCAAAAGCTGTGGTCACAGATAGAAGAGAGTGAAAAATCAAGGGCATATGGATATCCACTTGTTCCAGAACTATATTTATGGAAAAGACCATGTTTTCTCTACTAAATTGCATTTATATTTTTGCCAAAAATCAGTTGTCCAGACCTAGAGTAGCCAAAACAATCTTGAAAAATAACAAAGTTGGAGGACTCACACTTCACAGTTTCAAAATTTACTACAAATCTGCAGCAATCAAGACTGTGTTGTGTGGTACTGGTAAAGACAGACTTATATCAACAGCATCGAATTTGAGAATCCAGAAGTACAATCTCACATTTAAGATCAGTTGATTTTCTGTAATGATGCCAAGATCATTCAATGGAGGGAAAAAACAGGATCTTCAACAAATGGTATTTGGGGCAACTGGATATCTACATGCAAAAGAATGAAGTTGGACCCCTGACATATCGTGTAAAAACATTAACTCAAAATGAGCCAAAGACCCGAATGTAAGCGCTAAAACTATAAAACTTTGAGAAGAAAACATAGGTATAAATCTTCATGACCTTGAATTAGGCAATGGGATATTTCCTCATTTCGTTTGGTCTGGTTTAACTTCTCTCAGCAATGTTTTGTGGTTTTTCAGTATAAATCTTGCTCACCTCTGGCCGGATTTATGCCTTAGCATTTCGTATTTTTGTGTTATGGTAAATGGTATTGTCTTTGAATTGCAATTTCCAATTTTTTGGATTGTGTATAGAAATAAAATTAATTTCTTTATGTTGATTTGGTATCCTGCAACCTTGCTAAGCTCCCTTATTAGTTCTAGTAGCTTTACTGTAGATTTCATCAGATTTTCCCCATTGACAATTATGCCTTCTGCGAAGAAGGCAGTTTCTGATCTGGAAGCCTTTTCCTTTACTTGCCTTAATAAATTAACTAGAACCTCTGATACAACATAGAATAGTAGCAAATGCAGAAGGATCTTCCAGTCTTTCGCATTAAGTATAATGTTAGCTGCGGGTTTTGTAGACGCTCTTTGACAGATATAAGAAGTTTCCTTCTATTCCCCTTCTAGTCTTAATTTGTTGAGGCTTTTAATCAGAAGTTGATGTTGGAATCCAGGTGCAGTGGCTCACTCCTGTAATCTCTGCACTTTGGGAGGCCGAGGAGGGCGGATCACCTGAGGTCAGGAGTTTGAGACCAGCTAGCCAACACAGTGAAACCCTGTCTCTACTCAAATTACAAAATTTAGTCAGGTGTAGTGGAATGCACGTGTAATCCCAGCTACTTGGGAGGCTGAGGCAGGAGAATTCCTTGAACCTGGGAGGCAGAGGTTGCAGTGAGCCATGATTGTGCCAGTGCACTCCACCCTGGGCGACAGAGTGTGACTGCCTCAAAAAGAAAAATGATGTTGGATTGTCAAATGCTTTGTGGGTATATACTGCTAGAGAAAACACAGGGGTCACAGATGAAAGAGAGTTCAAACTTGAGAGCAGCCTCTGTTTTCTCTCAGAAAGAAGATAAGGGGAAGAAAGTGCCCTCCCCAGTGAAAGGAGCCTTTCTTAGGGAGCCACGTGAATGTGTGGGGTGCTTTTGTTCTGTGTCTCTCTCCTTGGCTGGCCTTCCTAGGGTTCGGGTTCTGGCCTGTGGAGTCCAAAGCCAGTGCTCTTTCCTCTACACCAAACCATCTAAAGACTGACTCCAGAACACTACTTGACCAAGGCCCCTGAAATGGATAAAACTTCAGATTTCTCAACAAGACAAAATAGTAGCAGTCATTTGCTAAGCACTTTTGGAATACAAGAAACAAGGCTGGAACTAGGGTGAGGTGAGGGAGCCACCCATGGATGCAAAATAAAAGGAGGCACTCCCTCGACCCTATGTGCCTCCCTGGCCTCACCCTCATCCAAGCTCTGCAAAGAGCAGTGCTAAACACTTTACCTGCGCTTATGCCCTTAATCCACAAAACAACACTTTAGTGATAGGTGTGCTTATTATTTCTTTTCTTTTTTTTTTTTTTTTTTTGAGATGGAGTCTTACTCTGTCACCCAGGCAGGAGTGCAGTGATGCAATCTCGGCTCACTGCAACCTCTACCTCCTGGGTTCAAGCAATTCTCCTGCCTCAGCCTCCCAAGTAGCTGGGATTACAGGCATGTGCCATCACACGTGGCTTTTTTTTTTTTTTTTTTGTATTTTTAGTGGAGTTAGGATTTCACTATGTTGGTCAGGCTGTTCTCTGATACCTGACCTCAAGTGCTCCTCCTACCTTGGCCTCCCAAAGTCCTGGGATTACAGGTGTGAGTCACAGTGCCTGGCCATGATGATTATTCTCAGTTTACAGGTGAGGAAACTGAGGTTCAGAGAGGTGAAAGTGACCTGACCAAGTAATTAGTGGCAGAGCTGGCCTTTGGAGCAAAGTCTCTTCCTATTTTGTCTGTGTTCTTAATCAGTGGTTCTCGACTCTAGTGACCTGGAATGACCTGGAAGTTTGATTGAAACACTGCTGGCTAGGTCCCCGCTGGAATTTCTGACTCAGTAGGTCTGCTCTGTGGGCAGGAGAATTTGCATTTCTAACAGGTTCCTGGGCTGCTGGTCCAGGGACCGTCCTTGGAGAACCACTTCACTATGCCTTGTTTCCTTCTCCATGACCCTTGTGTTCACTGCAACTCAGGGGCATGAAGATTCTGAAAGTAAAGAGAGAAGTCCAAGAAGTGTCAGATCCTGGCTGACGAAAAGAATGAGAGCATCAATTTCCCAGGATTGGACCAAGAGTCTCCAATGTCACCGCTGCTATGCTGGAGCCCCAGCTTCATTCCAGAATGCCCCATGCAGAATCAGTGAGCAGCTATGAGTTGAGTTGGGGGATGAACGGACCAGCAGTGAGAACCTCTCTGGGGACTTATTCATGTGAAAAGAATGCTTTATTCATGTGAAAAGACATTTATTCTGAAAGGCTTCTTTCTATACACCCTCCATCCTTGTAGTACAAAATGGGCATTTTCTTCTTAAATATATTTCCAATGTTTTCTAAGTTATTCTGAGATATCTGTATCAGAGGGACACGGTACATCAGATTTTTAAAGCCTTTGAAGAAAGACCACTGCAAAATAACAGAGAGTGGGGATAAAACCAACACAGAGCTATTTAACACGTGATAAGGAAAGGCAGACTTAAACCAGGCTTGCTGATCTCCTCAAGTTTTAAACATGTGACATTTTCAGTGTTGACCCTAGTGTTTGAGAGGCTAAATTTTTCTTTAATCTTCCACATTTTTGGTCTCCGAGACCACCCCCCCCATCCAGCTTCACATTGCCCTAAAGTGCAGTAAGGGAAAAGCCAATTTTATTCCTTCCCTTGATCTTTATTGGGAGTATCACAAAGCCCGTGGCAGGAAATTCCAGCCCTGCCTATATGCATTGGACCCAAGTGGGAAGCTTCTAATAATCTCTTGGTCCTAGTCACACTCCAGACCAAGCACAGCAGAACCTCTGGGGGTTAGGAACAGGCAGGCCTGCTTTTGAAGTACCCTACCCTGCCACTGTGATGCCAGTGCCAGCCAGGGCTGAGAAGCTTTGCTTTAGGCGGTGAATTCCTGGAGAATCCCCACTGCCTTCTTGCTCTTTCTCCAGGTGTTCCACCTAATAATGATGCTTCATACCCTCAATATCCCCTCCTGGAATGTGGAGGCAGCGGCTGCCTGGGCTCTGATTTGAATGGGAAGGAAACTCCTATTTGTTAAAGATCTTCCCAGTGCCAGCGTAGTTTCATCCACCTAATAACCCTAGGAGACAGGTGCTACTGTCTTCACTTGGTAGAAGACACAATTGATGTTCAGCGAGGTGAAGTGACTTGCCCAAGGACACTCAGCTGTCAGGTGGAGCACAGCTGTGTGTGGGGCACAGGTGGAGCACAGGTGTCAGGTAGACACAGCTGGGATTTAAAGCCAGGCTTGTCTCCCCTCCTCCTTGGGAAAGATGGAACAGTCCCTGTTAGCCACAGGGAGCCCCTTCCTTCTCAAGGCAGCTTGTTCCTCTTTCAGGCAGCCAGGAGTCCTCGTCTGGCCCCCTCTCACCCCCATCCCTGCCTCAAGCCCCAGTGTCTCCCCAGGTTCTGCCGCACAGCTCTCTCAAGCAGTCATAGGGAAGAAACACACTCTGGCCAGTGGGCTGGGGTGGCCCTGAACAATTCTTATGCTTGCATTTCCCATGTCTGTCTGTTTTTCTGATGAAGAATTGCCCTCTGGGGGAAAGGGGACCTCCAACCTTACCTGAAGGTCAAGGTCAGCTTGCCTGGAGAGGAAGCCTAAGGAACCCCTTTAACTTTGGGGACCACTGGACACCAATGCACTGTGCCTTTGCGATTCTGTGCTTCATGGTCTTGCTGTTCCTGCCATAACTACATTGAGAAAGGAGCGGGGGTGGGGGGGTGGGGGTGGGGGTGGGGGTGGGGAGGGGAGAATCTGCTATTGTTCTTTAAGCCCCACCTCACAGGTAGAGAGCATCAGGAGAGGGTGCCAGGGGGCAGCACAGTCCAGTAGAAATCAATACTCCTGGACCAGAAAATGGGCCCCTAGGTTTCCTTCCCAGCCTTGCCACAAGCTGACTGATTTTGCAGGTCATGACCTCTTTGGATCACAGTTACCTTAGGTGTAAAGCAGAGCATTTGACCAGTAGGTCAAATCCTCTAGGAATTTGACCTCTAGGAATTTTTTTTTAGAATCTGAATCCTCTAAGATTCTTTTGAGCCCTCAGATTCTATGAGAATTGTACTCCTCTAGTAACAACAGCAGTTAGGGTGACCCATGGTTTGCCAATTGGAGCACTGAAGTCCCGTGCTCCAGGAAACTCTTTAGTCCCGGGCAAACAAGGATGTTTGGTCACTCTAACTGCTGTCATCTCTTCAGTATGTGTCGTGTTTGGCCTCTGGCACATGACAACAGGAGCAGAGACAGCAGTAGGCTGTGGTCTTACTGCCATACCTTTAGATTCCTTCCCTCCTCCAGGATTGCTGAGAATAGTCAGCAGGCTTCAGTTCTGCAGCCTGAGAATTTCCAGGCTGCAGTCCCCTGGAAGCCCGACCTCTCTGTGCCTTGCCATGGTCCCCAAGGCGGGCTCCTCTTTTTGTCTTCCCTACCCTGGACCCTGTGTCTGGCCCTGTAAACAGTTCCTGATTTTCTCCATTTCTGAGGCCCCTTGTTTTTTTAGCTAAAGGTCAGGGGCAGGATGGCTCTTGTCGCCGTGCTGTTGGGTGGGGCATGACAAGGGCTCTGCTGGGCTCCTCCCCAGGACTCTGGCATCAAGCATCCCCTCCACAGCCCTGTAGTCAGGGGCAGCTGGAGTCACTGTGTGCCCACTACAGACCTGGCCAGGCCTGGCCAAGAGTGGGTGGGCCATGCACAGGTCAGGGTGGAGCTTGTGCCTCGTTGCTGCTCCTAATGTATGTGCAGCACCTAGTAGTCACCCTTCCTACAGTGGGTGTCAAGTAGGTTCCTGGCTGCTTCTCAGAGGAGCCTCACATCATTGTGGAAGGGGAAGGTCTTT